GCAGGAGACCACGCAGCATTTCCCAGCAAGGCAGAGGAGGAGCTGGACTCAGGAAAAGAGAAGCTGGCGGTGGGAGAGCCGGCAAGCACAGCAGCTACACCAGCCCCAGTGACAAGTACAGCAGCATCGTGTGAGAGTTCTGAAGGTTTTGAATGGCCTTTGGGTATCCTTGGGACCTGCCTGCTGATTGTGATGGGGATCAGCATGTTGGCACACACACAGGCTGTGTTCTACCCACAACCATTTTGTCTGATCTCAGAAGTTAAGCAGAGTCAGGTTTGGGTCTTGTCTGGGGTTAGACAAGGATATAGGGGGACCAAAAGGTTTTCCCCAAGGCTGGACAGTCATGAGTGGCAGGGTGTGTGGGACAGTATGGGCAAGTATCTAGTCCACTGGGCCCCTCCAGTGCTTTGGAAGCATCGGAGATGGAAGGCAGCTGTATGGAGTCCCCAGCAACAAGCTGCAGAAACTGCTGAAGGGGACAGTGAATTATTTTAAGCCTGGTGGGCCCATGGCACTTCAGGCCATCAGAGCAGAGATGCAACATAGAGATGGACTCATGATCGAGGGGTGGACTTAGCAATGGACACTATTGCCCAGGTTATTCACGAGTGTGAACACTGCACACAGTCTCTCCTGCTCTGGAAGACTGTTACAAGAGATGGAGCCTGACATCATGGACCAGATGGACTCAGCAGCTTTATAGGGACTGGTCCATGCACTAAGATAAGAGTATATTGAAAATGGGGGATCTGAGCATGACGTGAATGGTATGGAATAAGGGGTGGATAATGTCCTGGGTTCAGCAGTAGCAGTCATTTTTCCCCTTCTTGGTCGCTGGTGCAGTGCAATGTTTTGACTTTCAGCTCGGGAACAGAGCTGATAACAAGCGATGTTTTGGTTTGGCCAAGGACTTTGTGAGCCTCATGCTCTGCCAGGGAGGAGGGGAGGCCGGGAGGAAGCAGAGACAGGACACCTGACCCAAACTGACCAAAGAAGTATTCCATACCACAGCACGTCATGCCCAGGATGTAACTGGGAGTTAGCCGGAAGGGCTGGGAGACTGCAGGGTTGGAGGAGGTGTCGGTCGGAGCTTGGTCGGGCTGGGGGGGCGAGTTATCGGTTGGCTGGTGGTGAGATGATGTATTCTCTTCCCTTGTTATTTCCTTTATCATTATTATCATTGGTGGTAGCAGTAGTGATTTGTGTTATACCTTAGTTACTAAACTGTTCTTATCTCAACCCGTGGGAGTTGCATTCTTTTTGATTCTCCTCTCCGTCCCTCCGAGAGCAGGGGGAGGGCAAGAAAAGGGGGGGAAGTGAGCGAACGAGTTACCTGACTGGGTTTAAACCTCGACAACAGGTCATCACATCTGTGCCTACTGAGTGGCACAGTCCAAAGGCACAGTTTAAATTTTTGAATGACCAAATGACTTGCCAGCAGTCAGTGCACACATTCCAAGGAAATAGGTAACTGTTACCATAATGCAGGACCATGCCAATTAGTTTTTCATTTTTCCAACACCAACTTAATGCCACAGTTGCAGTAATTCTAAACCAGAGTCTCACTGGACATCTCTTAAGAGTCTAATTTCCAGTTTACTCCCAATCACTTTATATTCTTGGGGTTTCTGGGTTAAGTGGTTATCCAGACATTTCACTACGTGTGTGTGCAAGTTGGGAAGCTTGGTCAGAACTTCACCAGATGAGAAAAATGTATTTACAAATGGGACACAGAGTACAGTGTCTAGGAAGTTGGATGCTGTTACTGGCAGTGTGCAACTGGGCACTCTGACAGTTTGACCTCAATGATTAGCCTTGACACGTTTTTCATATCTGCTCCCTCTAAAAGAAGCTGCTGAAGAGCCCTGGTCATCCTGTTGAAAGTCTATGTTTTAAAGACTTTTAACATCTAGAGCATCCTGTTAAAAGTCTATGTTTTAAAGGATATTCTATTTATAAGGCCTAAGATGTGGACCAAAGAGAGGTCATGCTGGTTCAGGGTGCTACTTGTAATAGTTAGAATCCTTTTGAGATAAAATAATATCAGTTCTCAGTGTAATGTCAGACAATGAGAGTCTGAAAGTCAGTCTGGTGTGTTCCTGTATGCTTTTCACAGACAGAGAGCCATAGGGAGTTCAGTGTGGAAACTGACTGCTTGGAAATGTCCCTGTATGGGGACAAGCCCTATATTATTTTTCTTGTGCTCCTCTTTGGAATTTTCACACCTGATATTTAAAGCAATTTTTAGTAATTTTTTCTTTTGTTTGTTTTTTTTTGTTTTTAATTTTATTGTTAGTTTGGACTATTCTGTCTTCAAAAATGCTCTGTCATGCTATCTAGTGGCTAAATCAAGCCATGACTGTCCTATCAATGTATCGTGGATGGAGTACTTACAAACCCGTATGTTCTGTTTTCCAAAGATAAAGCACCATATAAAAGTTGTCATTTTATCACATTATCCTTCTGCACATAGGTTTTCTTAAAGAGAGGTTTTCTGAAACCGGATTTGAATTGAGGTAATGATTGGTGTTCTTCAGTATTGCTGACTAAATATAGTAAACTCACTATTTTAGACAAGAAGATCAGTGTTTTACTTGTAGATAGCAAAGACAATGCACCATCATCGTGATTCAATAGCCTTCAGTATTTTAAATTGAACTACTTTACCTTCTGTGAATAGGTGTTTTGCATAACACTCTGATTTTCTTTTAACCTTTCAAAGTGACCATTTGTCTTTCAAGTGTCCTGTCAGGTACACTGAAGATATTTCTTTGTATTCAGTTATAGAAAATTCATTATATAGAGATATAAATGGAATTTCAGGCAAATAACTTTAATGTTCTGGCATAAAGTGATGCAAGACCTGAAGCTTAAAGCTAAAGCTTGAAGCCAATTGCAGAGTCATACAAACATGAAGAAAAAAAGTGCAGTGACTGAAGGAATCTGCGTCAGATTGGCTACCTGTCTTTTGCTAGCTGGGCAATGATCCAAACATTATTTTAAGCTTAGATTTTTCTAATTATTTTTAATTGGGGAAATTGTTACATTAAAGGCAAAGAGAGAAGGGGAAAAGTCTTTTTCAGTCATGACAGTAAATATGGATCAAATGAAAGCCTGAACTTTTCAATTGACTCAGCTGATTGCAGTTGGATACAATTTCTGTTTGAGGAAAGGAGTCTGAGTGTTTTCTAGAAGCTATTCAGGATTCTTGGTAATGAAGTTCCAACTTATGTATTTTTATTCTAAAATATAATGGAGACACTAGTTAGAACAGAAATAAACCTGCAGGGAGAGTTCTACAATTAGATTTAATTGATATGTTTATTTTCATGTTTTCTATTGTATTTCAGATTAGTTTCAAGTACATTCCAGCTAGCCACATATAAACCAAAATGAATCTTAGGGGAAAGTGAGCAAGATCATTTCCAAAGAGAATTGGTACTCTTTAGTGGCTTTGGATCCTTGGCAGTGAGGTTGCATTTTGTGAGAGACTTATAATAATAATTTTGACTGTCTTGGGAACCTGATAATACAAATTCCTGTTGTTGATGCACCTCCACATAGAGATACCACATTAGGAGGCAAACGGAAGCTAGCAAGGGATAATGCTTGCCAGTAAAGTAGTCTACTTTCACGTATAGTTCATGGACAAATTATCTTGTCTTACATAACTGAACAGAACCATGCTGTTCAGAAGTTACATGGAGATCTGTTTCACTCATTTCTTGAGTTGTACCTGATTACATCTCACATTATGAAGCTCAGCAAAATGAACCAGTTTAAGCAGTACCTTCAAAGTTCCAGCTCCCCACAAAAAAGAAAACAAAATCCACAAAAAAAAAACAACCAAAAAAAAAACCACCCAAAAAAAACAACAAACCACCACAAAACACATAACTGTTAATCCATGTTAATCCAAATTGTGTTTTATTTAATAATTTTTTTCCTATGGACAGACACGCACATACGCTTTCAATAGTATTTCAATGGGCAGTAGTTCTATATATATAGGACAAGGTGAACAAAACATTCACCTGTAGACAAATCATGAAATAATTGAGGAAAAATATAGTTGTTAGTTTTTCAAATATTAACCATTTACTGCTATTTTATTTCCAGAGAAGGGGAACATTCAGTGGGATTGAAGAAAAATGTCAAAATTAGCCAAAGAAATTATTTTAATGAATAATACAGCCAGCTCTGCTATAAACACGTGACAGATCATTTAAACTAGGTATGTTTATTCATGTGTTTGTGCTTACTAATTTATATTTGTGTCTATTTGTGTTTATGCTTTTCAGAGGGTTTTGTAATGTGGGGAGTGAAGGTGATAAGATTTGCATGAAAAAGTGTTTGCGAATGAGCTCTGAGGCCTTGGTGCTTGACAAGCCCTGGGGCGATGAGTTGGGGCATTGAAGGACAAGGAAGATGGAAGAGCAAGCCTTGGGAGGATGGGCCAGGATGTGGTTGTGGGTGGAGTCTCAGTTGATGATGTGGGACGTTGTGAGAGGGTCTGCAGCACTGTGATTGGACTATTTACCTGGAGAGTTTTACAGGGGCCAATGAGATTGAAAGTTGCATGCTTGTGCATGTTGGGAAAGTACTGAACATGGGGATAAAAAGGGCTTGATTGTAATAAAGTTGGATTTGAGTCTCCTCATCAACAAAGCAATTGCAAGAGAGAAAAAGTCCCTCAGTCTTTGGAGGCGGCTCTTGGCAGCTGTGAAAGAAAGGTTTCCATACAAGGACGATGTTATGAGTTGTTCGGCCAAGTGGACTACTACAGACAAAGGCATCCAGTCTCTGAGGGAATCAGCCATCGTAGAGATGATCTATCACATCAAGCTGAATAACGGGGATACACCCATGGACCCGGAAGAAGAATGATTTTAAATGGGGCCCTGAGCAACAACAAGCCTTTGAGCAAATTAAATGCAAGATAGTTCATGCAGTAGCCCTTGGACCTGCCTGGACCGGGCCAGATGTAAAAAATGTACTGTACACTGCAGATGGGGAGAACGGTCCTACCTGGAGCCTCTGGCAGAAAGCTCCAGGGGAGACTCGAGGTCGACCCCTCGGCTTTTGGAGTCGGGGATACAAAGGATCTGAGGCCAGCTATACCCCAACTGAGCAAGAGATACTGGCAGCCTATGAAGGGGCTCGAGCTGCTTTGGAAGTGATTGGCACTGAAGCACAGCTCCTCCTGGCACCCCGGTTGCCCGTGCTGGGATGGATGTTCAAAGGCAGGGTCTCCTCTACACATCATGCAAGTGATGCTACAGGGAGTAAATGGGCTGCACTAATTACACAATGAACTCAAATAGGAAATCTCAGTCTTCCAGGCATTCTAGAAGTCATCATGGACTGGCCAGAGGACAAAGATTTCGGAATGTCACCAGAGGAGGAAGCGGTGCATGCTGAAGAGGGCCCACCATATAATAAACTGTCAGAAAGTGAAAAGCAGTATGCCTTGTTTACTGATGGGTCTTGCCATATTGTGGGAAAGCATTGGAGATGGAAGGCAGCTGTATGGAGTCCTGGATGAGAAGTTGCAGAAACTGCCGAAGGAGAGGGTGAATCGAGTCACTTTGCCGAGGTGAAAGCCATCCAGCTGGCCCTGGACATTGCTGAATGAGAAAAGTGGCCAGTACTTTATCTCTATACTGACTCATGGATGGTGGCAAATGCCCTGCGGGGGTGGTTGAAGCAATGGAAGCAGAGCAACTGGCAACGCAGAGGTAAACCCATCTGGGCTGCTGCACTGTAGAAAGATATTGCTGCCCGGGTGCAGAACCTGGTGGTGAAGGTGAAGGTACGTCATGTAGATGCCCATGTACCCAAGAGTCGGGCCACTGAGGAACACCAGAACAACCAACAAGTGGATAAAGCGGCTAAGATTGAAGTGGCTCAGATGGACTTAGATTGGCAACATAAAGGTGAATTATTTTTGGCCCGGTGGGCCCGTGACACTTCAGGCCATCAGGGCAGAGATGCAACATATAGATGGGCTCGTGATCGAGGGGTGGACTTAAAAATGGACACTATTGCCCAGGTTATTCATGAGTGTGAAACATGTGCTGCAGTTAAGCAAGCTAAATGGTTAAAGGCTCTTTGGTATGGAGGACGATGGTTGAAGTATAAATATGGGGAGGCCTGGCAGATTGACTATATCACACTGCCACCAACCCGCCAAGGCAAGCGCCATGTGCTTATCATGGTGGAAGCAACCACCGGGTGGCTGGAAACATATGCTGTGCCCCATGCCACTGCCCGGAACACTATCCTGGGCCTTGAGAAACAGATTTTGTGGCGACACAGCACCCCAGAGAGAATTGAGTCAGACAATGGGACTCATTTCCGGCATAACCTTACAGATATTTGGGCCAAAGAGCATGGCATTGAGTGGGTATATCACATCCCCTACCATGCACCAGCCTCTGGGAAAATCAAACGGTACAATGAGCTGTTAAAAACTACACTGAGAGCAATGGGTGGGGGAACTTTCAAGCATTGGGATACACACTTAGAAAGGCCACCTGGTTGGTCAACACCAGAGGATCTGCCAACAGGGCTGGCCCAGCCCAGTCAGAACTTTTACATATTGTAGAGGGGGACAAAGTTCCCGTGGTGCATATGAAGATTTTGCTGGGGAAGACAGTCTGGGTAATTCCTGCTTCAGGTAAAGGCAAACCCACTCGTGGGATTGCTTTTGCTCAGGGACCTGGATATACTTGGTGGGTAATGCAGGAAGATGGGGAAGTCCGATGTATACCTCAAGGGGATTTGATTTTAGGGGAAAACAGCCAATGAACTTAATTGTTTGCTGTTGCCTGCTGTGTAATACTTTTATAGCCCATCAACTAGATGTCTCCAGGTCACCAGCGACTAGCCCTGACTTCCCTCCAACCGTCATCCCAACAGAGAATGAACTTTGATAGAACCAGATGAGTTCCGCAGTAAAGGAATGACTAGCAACAGCAGGCAACGATCCAATAGTGCACACAGCCTTTCCTGCCCTGAAAGATTGTTACAAGAGATGGAACCTGACATCATGGACCAAATGGACTTGGCAGCATTATAGGGATTGGTCCATGCACTAAGAAAATGATCTTTTTCTCTTGGTCTGCATGTATATGGATGTAGATATGTGGGAGATCAATGGTGTATTGAAAATGTGGGATCTGAGCATGACGTGAATGGTATGGAATAAGGGGTGGATAATGTCCTGGGTTCAGCAGTAGCAGTGATGTTTCTCCTTCGTGGTAGCTGGTGCAGTGCTGTGTTTTGACTTCCAGCCTGGGAACAGTGCTGGTGATACCGATGTTTTCGGTTGTTGCTAAGTGATGTTTACCCTGACCAAGGACTTTGTGAGGCTCATGCTTTGCCAGAGAGGAGGGAAAGCCGGGAAGAAGCAGAGACGGGGCGCCTGACCCAGGCTAGCCAAAGAGGTATTCAATACCACAATACGTCATGCCCGGGGTAGGGGGTAACTGGGAGTTACCCGGAAGGACACGGGCTTCTGGGTCAGACTCGTTTCTTGGCCCATGGTATCGTATTCTCTTCCCTTGTTATTTTTTCTTTTCATTGTTGTCATTGGTGGTAGCGGTGGTGATTTGTGTTGTACACTGGTTGCTGGACTGTTCTTGTCTCAACCCGTGGGAGTTGCACTCTTTCGATCCTCCTCCCTGTTCCTCCGGGAGCAGGGAAGGGGAGAGCCCTGTTGGGGGGGGGTTGGCCCTCGATTGCTGTCAGCCCGGCACTACTCACTGGGAGTGAGTGAACAAGTTGCCTGACTGGGTTTAAACCACGACACAACCTAAGTGCATATTACCCGTGTACACTTGAGAACACATCCATACTTGCAGCTGAGGGTGATTTTTTTTTGTTGCTTAGTAGTAAGCCTTTGGAAAATAAGGTTTATAATTAAGGTGCTGGCACAGCTATAACTGTAGAGGCATAAATAGTGCAGTTATAAATAGTGCACTAACTGCGGTGGCAGACTTTGTCAAGCGGTTTGTATAGGACAGCCAGCTGACATGATGGGAGAAATTATGTTGAGGTCTGCTTATCAGTTCCTCTTTGATGCTATTGTTAAGCCTTTTTCTTCAGCAAGAACCAACATTAGCTTTGTGTCCTGCCATGGGGGCATTGCTTGAAATGGGACAATCTCACTTTAACTAAAACACACATATAAATTCTGTTGAAAGAGCAAATTATTATTGACAGACCTTGGCCTTGACATTTAAAGTTACCCCATTGTTGATTGTACTCAGTGTATTTAGAGACATAAAGAACTTTGAAAGGGAAGTGAGTTCTCTAGAGTTTTCACAAAATTGAACATATTCCACATAAGTGATAAGAAATAATGGAGGCATTAGCCAGAGTTAATGTTACTGAAGGTTAATCTGGGAGAAGTAGTGTACTATGTAAGCTTTAAGTATTTAAAGTTCTCATGAAGAAACCAAAAATACATGTTAATGCACTGAAAACAGCATTTAGCACGTAACAAGTTCTGATGTCAAACTATGCTGTTTGACATCGGTTAATATGTTATACAAGAAGACATACGAGCATTATTTTTCTTTTTAGAATTATTTTTTCTCCCTTAGTTTTTAAATCATTCCTGTGATCCTCTATCATGGAGCACTTTGTAAGAAAAAATAATCACTTTCTTTGTTTCCAGCCAAAATTTATGAAGGGTCCAGTGATGCTATGGTGGTCTAGGACAGCATATTTTCTCTTACCTAGACAGTGCTGCACTAAATGTGCTTTAGAACCAAATCTACCCTGCTTCTCTGTCCGTCTTTCATCCTATCTACCACCCTCCTTTGCCTTATAGAGGACCACAGGTGGGGCTTGGCTAGCTGCATCAGTGTTAGCAAACTAGGCAAGGTCAATGTGCAGGCTCAAGCACCAGTGTAGGATCATCTTCGGCGTTTAACTGCTAAAGCACATCTTGGTCTCATTGTGGCTTGCTCTCAGTGCCTATGTATAGTTTTAGACATACTGCAGGCCAGGGGCTGATCCCACATGTAAAAAGCCATCATATCTCATGGGGAAGGGAATTAAACCAGGAAGCAATGACATGTCATAGAATCACAGAATCATAGAATTGTTAGGGTTGGAAAGGACCTTAAGATCATCTAGTTCCGACCCCCCTGCCGTGGGCAGGGACACCTTACGCTAAATCATATCACCCAAGGCCTCGTCCAACCTGGTCTTGAACACTGCCAGGGATGGAGCATTCACAACCTCCCTGGACAACCCATTCCAGTGCCTCACCACCCTCACAGTAAAGAATTTCCTTCTTATATCCAACCTAAACTTCCCCTGTTTAAGTTTTAACCCGTTACCCTTTGTCCTGTCACTACAGTCTCTAATGAAGAGTCCCTCTCCAGCATCCCTATAGGCCCCCTTCAGATACTGGAAGGCTGCTATGAGGTCTCCACGCAGCCTTCTCTTCTCCAGGCTGAACAGCCCCAACTTCCTCAGCCTGTCTTCATACAGGAGGTGCTCCAGTCCCCTGACCATCCTCATGGCCCTTCTCTGGACTTGTTCCAACAGTTCCATGTCCCTTTTATGTTGGGGACACCAGAACTGCACACAATACTCCAGGGGAGGTCTCACAAGAGCAGAGTAGAGGGGCAGGATCACCTCCTTCGACCTGCTGGTCACGCTCCTTTTGATGCAGCCCAGGATACGGTTGGCTTTCTGGGCTGCGAGCACACACTGAAGCCAGCTCATGTTCATTTGCTCATCAACCAACACCCCAAGTCCTTCTCCGCAGGGCTGCTCTGAATCTCTTCTCTGCCCAACCTGTACCTGTGCCTGGGATTGCTCCAACCAGGTGTAGGACCTCGCACTTGGCATAGTCAAACTTCATGAGGTTGGCATCAGCCCACCTCACAAGGGTGTCAAGGTCCCTCTGGATGGCATTCCTTCCCTCCAGCGTATCAACCGAACCACACAGCTTGGTGTCATCGGCAGACTTGCTGAGGGCGCGCTCAATCCCACTGTCCATGTCAGCAACAAAGATGTTAAACAAGACCGGTCCCAACACTGATCCCTGAGGGGCACCACTCGTTACTGGTCTCCAGCCAGACATTGAGCCATTGACCACAACTCTTTGTGTGCGGCCATCCAGCCAGTTCTTTATCCACCAAGTGTTTCATCCATCAAATTGATGTCGCTCCAATTTAGAGACAAGGATGTCATGTGGGACAGTGTCGAACACTTTACACAAGTCCAGGTAGATGACATCAACTGCTCTAACCCCTGTCCATCATTTCTGTCGCCCCATCATAGAAGGCCATCAAATTGGTCATGCAGGATTTCCCCTTAGTGAAGCCATGCTGGCTGTCACTGGGCTTAAGTTGCAGGAGCAGACACTTCTTATTTACTTAAAGAAGA